GAATCTGGTCCGTGCGCTAGCCAACAAACACTCTCTAACTTGGGCAGGAGGACCATTAAACCTCGGCCTAGAACAATCAACCTCACTACCTCAGACGGAAAGGAAAAGCCAAGGGTCCGAGTTTGAGGAAGGAGTGATGTTGCGGATTTGGTGTTGTTTTCCTATTCGGAGTCTTATTCTTAGTTTCCGGTTAGTAGTCTTATTCTATTTAGTTAATATTCCTAATAAGAAACTAGGTTTCCTAATATGATTATGGTAGGTCTCTTGTAAGGCTTTGCCTATTTATACTTGACCAATTCATTAATAAAATCATCATTGAAGCAATTAAACAATTCATCCTAATTAGTCACGGACTATAGGACCTGAAGTTCTTCCTCGTCTCGCCAAGAGCAAGAGAGGGTTTTTCATATATCTCAAGGATCTCTTCAGATCCCTAACACTAACTTTGTAAGAAATCCTGTCACAAATTGTTTGTACAGTTTCAACGTCATGGGTAGGATCTAGGACCTTAACACTCATTACACATTCCATGTTTTCAGCCAGTCGCCAGCCTCTGAAAAATTTATTTACAACTGTAAAAAGAGAAATACCTTCTGAAGAACATATCCATCATGCACAGGAGCAATAGTAGTTGATCCTCCACCGCTGAATGAATAGAAATAGAATATGGTTAAACAAATATATATCATACACTATTTGCACAATGCTTATAGCAGGAAACTACATGTAAACATTACTAGATATAACTGCACGCTTTTATTGTAGAAGCATTAACAGACAATTAATTGCTCAGTAAGAGGATTTGTCTTAATATTTTCAAGCAAGTCCATTACTGCTGTATCAAAAGAGTGCATAATCTCCTACCTATCTACGACCAAGGAAGTGGCACGTCCTGATGCAAAGGATGTCAAAACCTGGCATTATGAAAATACAACCACCCAAGCTCGATCACAATCTCGTACACTCTTTAAGTTACAATGTTAAAATATGCAGTCTAGCTTTAATATCTTTGAAGGAATATGTGTCATTACAAAATAGAAGGTTAGAAGTGGAAACTCACCGCATTTTTGGCCAGAAACAAGGCAGGTACTTGGTATTTTTCAAGCATAAGCTCAGCTGCCCTGTTAAACACATACTATATAACTTACAAGAACAACATATAAATGAGAAAGTGGACAGAAACATGGCATTGTTGTGTAGTATATATATTATATAAAGTATAGTCATTATCTTTAGGAATACAAAAAATAACCATGTGCGAATGCATCTGAGGTAGACAGTGCTATGCTGCTATCCTTTAAGGTAAAGTGCTTCACTTAATAAGTTAACTAATGAAATTATTATGCTCATATATGACATAATGAATGAACTAGTTTTGACAGAAAACTCACTTTTCTCTCTGTTGTTGAGTATTGGAACATGGCTCTGCTAGCAGCATGGGATGCTCTTTCGGATCAATGAGTAAGCACTCCCTACAGATTAGAAAAGTCGGGAAGCTTGTGGTTTAGGAAAGAACAGATCAGGTTGCATATGTCCCAATGCAACTAATCAGTTAAAAGTTGAGAAACAAAATGAACTTATACATAACATAAATGGTCTAGTACCTGAAGGCATGGTCCCATATGTTATCAACAATTTCCCAATCAGCTACTACTCCATCCTTAATAGGTGATATTGCCTGAAGAGTTATCGTTTGTGCCGCTCATGCATTAGAAGTAGTATGATAATAGTATTTTTCTAATCATTAGAATTATATAAACTGACCTCCATGTGATCCCGACGGAAACCTAAGGCTTGAGATCCTACATACAGTTTGCGCTTACCCTTGGATTTAGAGTCCGGGATTGGGCCAGAATTATTATCTGGATTGTCAGGATTATCAACTTCCATTTGATCAATTGATCCAACAATCTTTACATAAGACGAAAAGTAACATGAGTTAAGAAAATCCTAAAACATACTTACTTACAAGAAAGAAGCATAAGACATATAGTAAATAACTGAGAACAATCGCAACAGCTCATATAATTGCCAGTTTTAACATACTTTGGGTGATCTAATCAATCACTATTTAAGTATTCAACAGAAAAGTAGTAGCTATCTGGGGGGGGGAATACGATGTCCAACATCCTAGTGTAATAATTATTCCGTGGAAAGATGTAATTGGTAAACAGTTGTGAAAGAATTGAAAAGAAACTTGCGTTGAGAACAGGTTAGGCATAACAAATTCGACGTTTTAAAGGGGATTACAGCTTTGCCTGGAGCTCGCCACGCTCCAACAGTATGCAGTGTAGGCCTTGAAGTGCGCCCATTTGCATACTTCAACTGTATCCCTCAATCTTTTTTACCCCACTGATATTAAACCCTAGTAAAACGTTCAACCCAACCTCCAATTCCCAAATTTGTAGAACTTACAAGATCAGTCCAACTAAAACTCTAAAAGCCCTAGCTTTCACACTTGCCTCAGCATGTATGCACCAAATTTTAGAACAATTCTATCCAATTCATAGACTTGACTACAATTAGAAAAACAAAACGGCTGCTACACTGTATAAATTGAAGTTAGGAATTCAATTTTAAAAAAAAAGGTGAAAATGGGAGTGAGGGGAGTTAGCGGTAACTCACAGAAGGAAAAACGGCTTTAGGAGCATCTTCTCCGGCATACCCAGCTTTGCAAGTTATGGAGCCCAGGTCTACGACAATGGCCGAAACTTCATCTGCAGACAGTAAACAAGAAAACGCAATATGAATTTAAGCCCGCCCAAAGCGGACCGCCGAATTTCAAATTTATAGAGACTTTACCTCCTCCGTACATCGCCGGAGAGTTTGAGATTCGGAGATTGATAGGATTTTGCGGTGGCTTCCCCCCTTTTCTCAGTCGCCGCCTGTCTCCCGCAACTCTCTATCTCGACACTCACTCAGTCCCTATTGTTCCGGACTAATTGACCCGGTCCCGTTACTGTAACAGCCGGTCTGACTCTAGAGAGTTCTTTTTTTGGGTCCAAGGTGGAATCGCCCACCCCAGGCGCCCCCACCCCTTGCCCGACAGGAATGGTGGAAAAAGTAAATCATAGTGACTCAGTCGGTCAAGAACGCTAGACCCGTGCCAACCGCGCACAAGGAGCCTCTTCACCCTTTATGGGATTTTTGGATAGCTCCCACACTGCCGTTTGTAGGACTCGATCCTGGTTATCGGTCCAAGATTTCACGCTCTTGACCAACTGAGCTGCCCATGCGGGCGAGAGTTCTTTTTTTCTAAACTACTCAGAGGGTGTTTGGCAGTGCGCTGCTTTTAATGATTTAATTTCTGCTTTGAGTGGAAGTGATTTTACTCTGTTTGGCATGTCAGCTTCTGCTTTTAACTACCACTAATTTGTACATAGAACACCGTTTCGGAGAAGCATGTATAAAGTGCTTTTGTTTTCAGCTTTCGTGGAAATCATTTTATCCACAAGTTAATCACTCCCAAACACCCTCTCAGTAATTCAGTAATTGCAATTCAGCAATTCCTTCAAAAAAATGTATTTCATGCATATAAAATGTTATATACGGAGTATATATTTCGGTGCAATTGAAATAACTATTTGATCAAAGAAATTATAATAATCATTAAAGAAATTTGGTAGTACGAAATGCACGTTTCGTTGAATTTGTTATAGTATAAAATTCATTTAAATTTTAATTTTCAAAATTTAGGTATGAAATTCCGAAAAACGTGTCTCCTAATTTTCGTGCGATTAGTCGCAAATTTTAAAAAAGAAACGCGACCGCATCTTTTCCTTCTATATATTTGCTTCTATAAGAATCCGGCAATGTCTTGGTCAAACACAGAATAGTTTAAAAATTCATCACAATTCATACTTGTTCTTGATCAATAATTTGAGTTTTATCTGATTGATTTTGAAATGAATGCCCAAAATAATCAATCTAAAAGTGCTATCACGACTCTCAAATTAATCCGTGTTATCTACGATTTCCCCAACATATAAAATATAAAAAATTATTTTAGCTACTCATTGTTTCTCATGTCAGAATGAAAAGAAGTGTCCCATATTGAAATAAATTAAATTAAATTATTTTATTTTTGATAGAATTTAGGATGAGATATGGACAACTGGATTGGACTGAACCACATTATAAGATTGGATCCAATCCATTAGTTAGTTCAACTCAAAAGCTTATGTACCAATTATTTTGCTCTTGAACTTTCGATGTGGGATGACACTCTAACAATTTTAATATATACAGAGTAAAATGAAAATATATATACAGAAAAATATGATTTCGGAGTGTGATGAAATCATGATAGAACAATAAAAAAGGGGAGGGAGTGAGGATTGATGTAGTGGGTATAAATTTTGTTTTAATGTATCTTTAAAAATTTGAATAAATGTGTTTCCTAAAAAATCAATTTCTAGGAAACCTACTTGAAATATAAGCAAATTTAGGGGCTGTTTGTTTCAGCTTCTTAATGGTTCAGATGTTTGAATGGTTCAGCACTTAATGGTTCAGACTGTTTGTTTCAGCCTCTTAATGGTTTAGATGTTTGAATGGTTAAGAGATTTGCCTCTGAATGGTTAAGTATTATACAGAGTATGAATGGTTAAGACCTCTTATCTGAATTGATCAGACATTTGCCTCTGAATATTTAAGCAATATACTAGCTCTTAATGGTTCAGATCTCTTACTGGTTCAGCACTTAATGATTCAGACCTCTTACTGGTTCAGCACTTACCTATTCAGAAGTTGCCAAACAACCCCTTAGTAGACATGTAGATAAGCAAATCTGAAGACCCAAGCTTGAAATATAAAAAAATTTGAGAAGTTACCTACTCAAAAAATAAATTTAGAATTTTTTTTTGGAAAAAAATAAAAACTAAAAATAGATCTCATATATACTTGGAGAACGAATATTAAAACATGTTATTGGAGGTTTCTCATATACTCCCTTCTTCAAAGCTTAAAGATTACAGCAAGTCATCACCAACAATTTGCTTTGTCAATTGAATTTATTCCTTTCCATAAATTTAAGCTTCTCATTCAAAAATACAATAAATTATTCACTAATAAAAACATTTTTTTGTTGCAATCAATGATCTGTCAAAAATTATTCCTTGCCATAAAACTTGTTACGTACAAATAATATTCCAATTCAAGCAAGTAACATTGTATTCTCATAACATTGCTAAACATTTCACATGCATGATATGGAAGTGGAAAACCCAGAAGAAATTGTTAATGGAGATGAAGAAGGGCATTCCCATAGAAAGTGTTCTGTGGACAATTGTGAGGTAGACCATGACAGTATTCTGTGTCTGCTTAACTCCGAGATGATGGGAGACGAAGAGGAAGGAAGGTTTCTCGAGTCCAATGTTTCCCGCACATCGGAGTCTTTGTCGTTCAAACACAAACGCGTTCTCGATTATATCGAAATGGATTTTGATTCGAGCGAGAATGTTGTTCATGTCCCGCTTTGTTCTGATGATAAGGTAGGTACATTTTGCCTCGCAGATCTAAAGTTTTACCATAGAGTTTAGGCGGATCTAGTTCAATTTGATAACTACATCTAAGCAAATGTTAGGATAAGTTTTAGTTTCTTTTTTTTACTCCCTCCGTCCATTAATTTTTTCACTTTCCTTTCTGGATCACTAAAAAATTTTCTTCTCATTTTTTATTTTGGCAAAAAACTTTTTATGAATGTATTATTATGCTCCCTTTTTTATCTGCATTATTCATTTTAATTATCTCGTCACATTAAAGACAAATGATTGAAGGTATTTTCATTTTTCAACTTTTCTTAATCATTGTGTAAAGTCAAATCGAGAAAGAAATTTTTGGACGCATGGAGTATATTATGTACTCCCTCCATCCCAAATTATAGTGCATGTTTACTATTCACAGAGTCAAAATTCATTCACTTTCTTTCTCTATTTTCGTTATCAATTTGATAAAATAAAGTAGTATTGTCACTACTAGTTTTGTAGATCTTTTGATGTAGTATTTTAATATGTAATTTTTATTTTTTAATTATATACCATTTGTCATATAAAATGATTTGAAAATAATTTCAGTCAAACATCATAAACCGAAACAGACGTTATAAAATGGGACGGAGGAAGTACTTCTTTTGTCCGAAAATAATCATCCTACAAATTAAATCCTGGTTTTTTTTATTACTTTGACCATAAGTTATGAAAATAATATATTTAGTTATAATATACAGAGTAAAATTAATATAATTGAGTTCGATATAAGATGTTGCTTTAATATATTTAGTTTTTATAATAGTTATTAAAATAATATTTACTTTATAGTCAAAGAGATCAAAAAATCAAATAAGATGATAGTTGTGAGATTAGAACCACTCTTTCAAACCAAACTTATTTTTTTTGGTACTTGGTTGTAGTGGGAAGGTTCCAACATTTACAAAATCGTTCAGTGGGTTTTTAACATGTTCGGAGTAGTATGAAACACATGGGCTTAGGCCCAATTCTACTTAAATACGGAGTATGTTTTATTTTATCTTTAAGCTAGTCTTCTACCTAAGGTACCCCATTGAGAGTGTTCTAAAGTCTAAACCACTCCTAAAAGTCTATACTTATTTGTGGTTTATAACTTTGTTAGGGTATATATTCATGGTTTAAATTAAATTCATTGTTTATGTTCTATTGTTAACAATTTATGAATGATAAGAGGTGTCATTCTGAAGAGGTTAACCGCACCAAGACTGCTCAGAGAGAGAAAAGAGAACGTAAAGTTGTACAAAAAAGCTTGGAAGCATTGTTTGCTACACAATCAAATGAAGACAAAGAAGAAGAGGAAGAAAGATATCCACGTAGAGATGGTCCTCTACATGGCCAACTGACAATCTCATCTTCTTCCGACGACTGCATTTCTCTTTGTCGTTCCAATAGCAGTGCTAGTGCTCAATCTTTTGTCTTCCCAATGCAAGTCTACTCTCCACATTGCTTGTTTATTAATTTTTCCTTGGATGTTATTAATTTCACATCCAAAATAGTTATATTTATGGTTAAATAAACTTAACTAACTCTACAAAAAGCTCAAAATTATGGTAGTTCTATCTATCAAAATTTATTACTCACTTATTTTAAAATTTAAAACACATTAAACATTAGTTTACTAGAATACCATCATCATCATCATCATCATCTAATAATAATTTTCTACTTTATTTATTGCAATCAGATTAAATTCAGATTTGTGTGGAAGTCCGATCACACCATGTGAGAAGAGGCTCAACAAGAAGGTATCATATTGGAGAAAGTATTGTTTTGGCTGCTGGATATTTTGAATTACTCTATCTGTATTGATGTTATTACAATAAATTATGGATAAAATATTAATATGGATGTACAGATTAAAATTAACACAAACGTGACAAATTAAAACAGGCACATAAACATATTTCACACTGTTTTTCAAGAAATAAAACACATTTTTTAAATTGAAAAAATCACAACATTACACTCATATTGTAAGAATTCAATCATGTATGAACTTTCTTTATGGCAATCTTATCGGCTGCACTGGGATGAAGCTCGAGCCCAAACATGTAGTGAGTGTAAAGACCACTTCGGGCGCTCCACACCCTCCTTCTACATAGTACTGGAGGATAGATATATTCCGTATACTCCTTCTGTTTCTTAAAATATTTTATTTTTTTATTCTCATCAAAATACTTCCATTTTCTATGAAAAAATACTGTTACTCCTACTTTTTCTATCCTACGTAACATATCATGTTTTTGTCACTAAAATTCTATCAATTATATCTTACTTTTACTCATTATATCAAAGATAAAATTGAAAAGTCAACAATAAATATGATATAATATGATATACACTCTTTATTTTTTCTAAAAATCAAAACGGAGACCATTGTATGAAATGTAAATAGTATAATTTTAGTGTGATTTTTTTGGGAGATCGAATGTTGCTAGTGCATACAAGGAGCAATCATATACTCCATCACTTCCTAAATTTTTGTCCTCATTACTGCTTGAGGCTTTTCATAATTTTAATACTCCATTCTTCCCACAAAAAAGTTCTCGTTTTGACTTTTTGAAAATTTAAGAAGAATTTATTTTGGTGTTAACTTTCCAAAAATATTTGTTGATGTGATGAATAAAGTAGGATGGGATGGATAGATTAATAGAGAAAAAGTACGATGTGATAATTAAGTTAAAAATTAGTAGGGACAAAAGTGACTTTTTAAAAGGAAAAAGGAAGTGTTTTTTGGGACGAATGAAAAAAAAGAAATGGAAACCTTTTTGTGAGAAGAAGGAAGTATTATTTATGTATGTATTTTCATTAATACATTTAATAAAATAATATAGTGAAATTTACCTAAATAGCATTAAAATATAATGATTTTACCTAAGTAGCACCACATGTATTTTTGTTCCCAATGTAGCACTTTTAGTAATTATGTATTAATCATTATTTAAGTAAATACACACAGTTACTGGACATTATTAAGTGCTATTTAGAGAATAAAATAGTTTAAGTACTATTTAGAGAAATGACTTGAATTTTAATGCTATTTATTGCAAATATTTCAATAAGTGAAATTTATCTAAATAATTTAGATTTAAAGTTATACTCTATAGCATAAAGACAGAGGAAATTATTACAACGTCACTGTCACAGAGATCACATCACCGACAGGAGCAGTGTGTACCTTACATAATACTGCTGACAATGTACTCTTCTTCTCCACAACACTTACCCACTCCCTGGACCCCACCACTCTCCACCCATATCAATCATGTCAATCCACGTCATCCACTTCGTCTCCTACAGCCACGTGGAATTACGGTTTGATCCTCTCCCTCCTTTCCCCTGGTGTGGGCCCCAGCAGCCGGCCGGCCGGCCGACCACGCAAATTTGCTCGACTTCTTTTCACTTACCAATGCCATGACCAAAATTGACCTTGGACATTTCGTCGCTCCAAGATGTGGAATCGCCCACCCCAGGCGCCCCCACCCCCTTGCCCGACAGGAATGATGGAGGATGTAAATCATGGTGACTCAGTCGGCCAAGAACGCTAGACCTGTGCCCACCGCGCACAAGGAGCCTCCTCACCCTTTATGGGATTTTTGGATAGCTCCCACACTGCCGCTTGCGGGATTCGATCCCTGGTCATCGGTCCAAGATTTCACGCTCTTGACCAACTGAGCTACCCATGCGGCAACCTTGGACATTTCGTTAATGGGGAATGGGTTGCTTTGAATAATTTGAATGTCTAATTGAATAATACTCCCTCTGTCCTGAAATGTTCTTTTCACTTACTATTCACACGGTCAAATTTTAAACACTTTCTTTACGTATTTTCATTAAGTATTTGATAAAATAATATAGTCTTGTCACCACTTATTTTGTAGAACTTTTGATGTAGTTTTTAAATATATAAATTTTATTTTTTTAATTTTACACCTACAATCAAATAAATTGAATTAAAAATAAAGTCGGTCAAACTTCGTAAACAGAACCGGGAAGATCATTATAGGACGGAGGGAGTATGATATTGATTAATTATCTTAATCGATATCATAAAGGTCAATTTTCTTTTCTTCTTACTTTCATTACTTAAAATAATTTTTCGATTCTAATTGATTCTTCCTTCCTACAATTATATTTTCACTTCGAATAAAGTACAAAATTCATTTCTTTGCACTATGTTTGGTTTAAGGAAATTGGAAGGAAAAGAAAAGAAAATGGCTTTCCCTCAGTTTCCTCACCAAAATGGGAGGAATTTGGTTTTCTCTCATCTTAGTACATTTTGCCTTCTCATTTTCTTTTCCTTCCACTCTTCTTTTCTTTTCCTCTCTAGCCAAACAAAAAAAATATTTTCTTTCACATTTTCTTCCCTCTCAAATTCCTTAAACCAAACATAGTGTTAAAATTGTATTTCTACGAATTATTACAAAAACAATTCAGTGAATTCACGAGAAAATAATCTAAGCAAGGTATGTGTATGTAAATCTTACACCTACTCTAAAGGAGGGGTGTTTCAAAGAAGCCTTCCGCACAGATAATACAATTGAAGGCTTTGTTTGGTAACAACGTTTTTGATTAGCGTTAGCGTTTTGGATAAAATTTTAACGATGCAGATTAATTCTGAAAACGCTACCGTCGTATAGCTTTTTCAAAATGCTAACGCTAATCTCTGACGCTGATGCCAAACGGGGCCGAAAACTCCTTAGATATATTGGAGTAGACACTGTAAACTTAAAAACCGAAGAAAAATGTGATGTGAATGCCCAATAGGTTGCTGGTTGTTACAACAGGGAAGCAAGATCCATCTTACAAAAGGCATTTGAATGATTCTCATGTGGTTACGTTTTGTGATTGTCATCACTAATTATGAAACGTGATTAATTCCCTATAACAATAGGGATTCTCCTTCTTCTCTCCCGAATAGAGGATGATCAATGTTCTCCATTTTAATTGACTAATATTGAAATAGCACCTTAACATTGGTGGTTTATCTACATAGCATCATTCTCGTTTGAACCATGCTAGACTTACACCAAAATTTGTACTCCAAACTTACACCAAAAGTATACACTAACATTTTGATTATTCTGATACAAATTGTTGGTGCGTTAACATAAATTTACACTAACACAAAGTGTTGATGCGTTAACAAAATTTAGCATTACACCAACAGAAAAGGTTAGTATGACACACCTACGATGTACAAATGGGATACAAACTCTTAGGGTACAAATAGCTTTATCCTTCTTATTTCTTTTTTTTATTAGCACTATTTTTAATCAGAACTACATACGCTACTCTTCTACTTCGTAAAACATTACAAGTCTAACACGAGGTTAATGTTGTCATTTCAAAATCCAGCTTTTACTAATACTCGTGCTATTTAATAAAATACGGATAATTTTCTGTATTTCTAAAGCCACACTCATACACCATACAAGCCTGCTAATTTAGTATGGATAATTGATAAACCATTTTTTGTTCTAGTTGGTAAAAAGGAGCAATATAACTGAATTTACATATTAGAGCAGCAGGGTCAATTATTAATAGAGTATAAATAAAACTCCATAACTAATCTCACCTCATCATTAATCATTAATTAAAACAAACACCAGGATTATAAAAACTGAATTTACATGTGGAGCATATATAATATTATAAATATTTATCAACTCCTTTTAATATATATTTTTTATATTTATTTATTTCAGATTTTTTTTTAATTTTGTGATTTACTAATTACGTAATAAGGTGATCGCGTTATAATTAAATTACCCCCAATGCGTTTGACTCCAGTATGTTTGATCTACGGCTCCCGTGAAATCAAAGAGCTCCGGATCCCCTACCCCACCTCCGGTGTTCCAATCCAGTGTTGCAAGACCCACGTCGCTTATCCTGTTCTGCGAGCTCGTGAAATCGATCTGATCCGTCCGATCTAAAAACCCCGCCGGGCCCACCATCTTCCCCGGTCCAGGTATGGCCCACTTGGAGCCCGGGTTATTATCCGCTACAAGCGGGTATTGGAACGTCGCCGGTGGAACGTCGTCGTCGAACCCCATCATGTTCGTGAAGATCCCGATGTCCGGGAAGTTTTGGTCGTTGCCGGAGTTGTCCACCGGCGGAGGATCGGAAGCCGGAATTAAGAAGAAGCCGGAGTTCTGGTAATTTGGAGCAGTTGGCGCGGAAAGGGCGGTCGTCGCACTCGTCGACGCTACTTCGGCGTTGTTGGAGTTGGAGTTGCCGTCGGCGACAGCCGCGGCCGTGCCAGTGAGGCCGGAGCTCTCGCTGCTGGAGCGAGAACTGGGCTTTCTCTCCGGGGCAGAGGAGGGGCTCGGTTTCGGCTTGTTAGAACGCTTGCTCTTCCGGCAGCCGCCACCGACGGGGACGTTGCGGAGGACGCCGCCTTTTGTCCAGTACCGCCGGCAGCTCTTACAGAAGTGGCGCGGCTGAGACAGGTTGTAGTTATTGAAGTAGCAAAACTTGGTGTTGAGGGAATCGCAGCGGGGGCATTTCAGCGACGGCGGCGCGTGGTGCTGGTTCGGCCGTAGCCTCCTCTCGCCGCCGCCAAAGAACCGCCCGCCTCCGCCGCCGATCGAGTGTATATCTTGCATTTCGAAATAAAGAAAACAACGTCCAATTCAATCGCCCGCGACAATAACAAGCTTGCTTCCTAAATCCCTGCCGGCGATAATTTTCTCCGGCAAGACTAGTCGCGGTTCCTCATAGGATGTGGGAGCGAGTGACAAATATGCTTCACAACCAAACCTGCGGAAGTTACTAAATAAATTCAGCAATAGGAACAAAATAAAAACAACGAATGACCGGAATGACGAAACTGCCC